CAGCTTCAAAGAAAGCGACACAAGGTCCAGTAGGAGTTCAGCACTGGATTTGCCTCAAGGCTGTGTTCCCCACATCCAAGGGCAACATGTCTCAACCATCCCGAGTGTGGCTCCAATCAGCCCAGCTGCAGCACAGGCCACTGAAGCCATGCCTCTGGAAGGCACAGATGATAGAAGCTGGCAGAGTCGAAGAGGTGCCATCTTCACCAGTACTCAGAGTGCACGAGCCAAGGAGTGTGGCTACGCTCACTTGGGTTCAGAAGGATGGAGCAGCTCATCCTCAAGCACATAAGCTAGGCAGAGGGCTGCTGTGAAGGTAAGGCCACCACAGGGAGCCCCTAGTGGGCGCTGCTCAGCAGATCCATGAATCAGGGCTTCCCAAAGCCATGGAGCTAGAACAACCATCCCATTGGGTCTTGAGGGAAAGATTATTCTCAGTTCCAAAAGCTTTGGACTCACTGGGGCCTGTCACTTCCTTCTTCCCAATTTTTCTCTTTGGGAATGGGAGCGACCATCTTACGCCATTCTATCATTGTATTTTGGAAGCACACAACTTGCTTGATTTCACAGGCTCACACTAAAGGGAAATTTGTCTGAGTGACTCTATCCTGAGTCTCACCCATATCCAATATCTAAATATATATATGTATATATATATAGTTTATTTATATATACATATATACATAAATATATATATATGTAAATATATATACTTATATATATATGTCTAAATATATTTACATGGCACTTTGGATTGGATTTAGACTATAAAATTCAAAGTAGAACGAGTGAGGACTTTGGAGGCTATTGGGATGGAACTGAGTGTATTCTGCAGGTGAGAACAACATGAATTTTGGGGAATGCAGGACAGGATGCTATGACGTGAAATTAAAACTTCACATGTTGAAATCCTAGCCCCACAAAGTGATGGTATTAGCAGGTGGTGCCACTGAGTGCTAACGAAGTAACCTCATGAATGAGATGGGTGCCCTCACTAAAGAGGCCCTAGGGAGATCTTTCACATCTCCCATCATAGGATAACACAGTGAGATACTGTATTAATTACTTTCTTGTCGCTGGTACACAACACCTAACACCCTCAACTCTAAGGAGGAAAGGTTTATTCTGGCTCATGGTTTGTAGATATTTTAGTCTATAGTCATCTGGCTCCAAGGCAGAGTGGCATGGCAAAGGGGCATGGGAGAGGAGAAAGAGCTCATGGCATGGCAGTGAGAAGGAGAGAGAGATCAAGGGATGGGGGAGGGAGATATACTATTCTAGGCCACACGGCGTAGCCCAGCTCCTCAGACAAGTTACATTTAGCTATGAAGTATCAGCCCCCATGATCGAATCACCCCCGAAATCCCCACCTATGAGCTCATGAAGCTTTGGAAGGATATTCAGATATAAACCCTAACAGACACTGTCAGAGAATAAGCCTCACCAGCTCCAAATCAGTCAGCTCCTTGATCTTGGGCTTTCCAGCCTCCTGACTGAGAAATATGTTGTTTATAAGCAGCCCAATCTGTGTTTTTTGTTATAGGGGCCAGAAAAGACTTATATATTGATACAGAATAAATTAAAATAATAAATAGCTGTGGTGGTGATTGCTTTCCCTGTTAAGAAAAGCATTCCTATAGCCTACAGTTACCAACAAACTCAAGCGCTAGTTTTGTTCTTAACAAGCTGTGCAACCTTAGCTATACTTCTGAATCAGCTCAGCCTCTGTTGCTCTGATATTTTACTCGTGCATAACAATATCCACTTTGCAAGGTTGTTGGCAGACCCAGGTGGGATAATGGAGGTAAAAGGCTGTGAAGCTTATTGTGCTTATGAGATTTTTCTTATTTCTGCTGCCAAGATTGGGTCATATGCTGCCCCATTCCCATTTTAAGCAGCATGAGAGTGTTTAGGGGAACACAGCAAATATAACCAGCCTCTTCATGGGTAAATGCATAGTGGCAGGTCACTACTTCTTGTCCTTCGAACTCAGAGGACACAATAAGCCATCCCAGGAAAGTCATCTGGGAAGTAAGTGGGTCAAATGCATTTAGCCAACCTGTCTGTCACTTCCAGCCTCTGTCACACCTCTATGGATATAGGAAGGGCACCCAGGTTGATGGTGGTTCCAATAACAGTGAGCAACATGGTAGGTGCAAACTATGATGGAGCAAAGCTGGGGTAAGTAGACAAGGAAGTGGGGCTTTTAGAGACAGACAACAAATGTACCTTCCTGGTGCCTCTTTAAATGTCACCTCCCATGAATGTTTTCTTGACCACACTGTCAGAAACAGTACCCCCCCATCACTACTTTCTAACTGTGTCAGTTTCCCTTTCTAAAATGAAAGATAATAATTATACTTATCTTCTCAGATAATGGCAAGGATTAAATACCTAATACAGGTAAATATTTAAAACAGTGTGATGCATAGTATTTAATAGATGCTTTAATCAATATTATTACTATTATCTAATCACTATTTCATTTTAACATGTTTACTCTCTGGAGAGTATTATCTTGGTTATTTATTTATTTGCATATTTATTTTCTGTCTTCTCTACTAGATTGTAAGAGGTGCCTCAGTTACATCCCCGCTTAGTGTATCAACTATAACAAATATATCCATTGGCTGAATTAGTAAGTGATTTAGTGAGTGAATGACTTGATGTATAAAAAAGGAATAATCACGCTCACCAGATGCATTATCTCCCATATACCAAGAACACATGTGTAGGACACAGTCTCTTACCTGAATTTTAGGTATAAAGAAATAGTGACACTGAAAAACATACAGTAACTTGTCTATAGAGGAGTGGGGGTGAACTGGAGATTAATCATTTATCACATTCTGGCTCTATACCAACCATCGTGAAAGGACCAAAGATTTACCCAATCCTCCGGTCATCCATTTCACAAATATGTATTAAGTTCTCCGAGCCATACAGTGGGTTCCCTGCTCCCATCCACAAAGAGGAGCTACTTGTTCCTACATCAGCCTGCGTCTGCAAGCTTGATGTGACATGGGAAAGCCAAGCTCAAAGCAGACAAGGATGAAGAAGAGGCAAAGAGGCGACAGGGCCCTGGAGCAGGCCCTCACTATGGCTGGGTCCTTTCCTCCCGTGACATCTGATTTCCTCGTGGATGACTGACTGCATGATCAGATTAAATTGTTCCAGGACCAAGCTATCTGGGGCCAGTTTTGTCAGCCTGAAAGTACGGCTTGCAGCTTTGTTTGTTCCAATGGGGGTGCTGATAACCATCACCACAGTTGGGATTTGTCGTCCATGACTTCCCATTCATTTCCTAATCAGTCATCACATTTTGTTCAAGCTTAATGCTGACCTATCACATGTAACGCCACATTCCATGGCAGAAATCTACCGCTGCATTTACTGGGGGCAACCGGCCAGCTCTCTCCCTGGCTGTTGCAGCACGTGCTGGGAACTGAGATTTCAAGGACACCTCCTCTCCCCCACTTATCTAAGAGTTCCCGTCTGTACAAACATTGTTTCCCTTTTCCCACTCCTCCTTCCTTCCTTCCCTCCACATCACCAGGATTACATAACCTGAATTACTGTCCTAAGCAGCACAGTGTCTAGGCTATTGGGCTCCCAGCTCCTCCCTCTCTCCCTCTCCCTCTCTCTCTTCCAACAAGACCAGTCACATCATTCTAAACTTCCATATCATTAACCGTAAATTGAGGAGAATGGGCTTTATCATCCATCTTTTTTAAAATTATACTATCCCAAGTTTTCCAATGATTCCCAAATGATGGCATCAGAATTAAAAATTGTCTGAGGTGAAAGATACATTTAGAAATCCACTACAGTAGCCCCATTTTTCATAGTTTCGTGTCACTTTCATGCTGTTTGTCACACCTATATACCACTCTATTATTCATTCAACTATTATTCTTAAATTCACTTTTTAAAAATACATGTATTTAAATGGGATGCCTTGTCACTAACATAAACAGAAAATCTTAATCATGTGCTACAAATATAATCATAGGCAAAGGAAAATAAAATGAGCTAAGAACATTCTAGCTGGGGACTTGTGCCTGCCCAAGGGTTCCCACTGGGCTCTTGTTCTTTACTGTTGAAATGAAAGCAAAAGAGGTGCTGATGCCATGCTAGGAGACTGTCTCCTTGCACCATCAGAATGGAAAAGGGCCACACCTTCTCCTCAAACTCTGACATTATATAGTCAGACATTATATATACAGAGGCTGATGCCACCCAAGATCATCCATGACTTCATTTTAGTGAAATGCATGACTTTATTTTAGTGAAATGTCTTCAGCACTCTTTTTAGGTTCACTATTGCAATTAGTCCACCCAGTGTTCCAAACTGCCACCGTCTGCATCTTTGTCATCACCTTCCCCTGGGGTCACTGCAGGAGCATTGGGAAGAAAAGTGGAATGCTCAAAAACATACACTCCAAAGCACAAAATGCTCCAAAACAGCTTCTAAAAGGCTGCCTTCCCTGGCACTTCAAGTCCACAGCTCTAGGAATCCCTGACCTTGGGCTGGTCTATGCTACCATTTTTTCTAAAGGAATCACTGCCCACAGACAACAAACAACATCTCCCATTGAGCTTTTGGGGAGTTCCTCAGCGGCTTCCCTTTCTTCCTCCCCTCTCTTTGTAGTCACCAGGGGAGCATGGAGCTGGTGGGATGCCAGTGTGGGAGCAGCTACAGAGACTGCTGGAGGAAGGGGACGAGGGGCCACAATTCATTCAGGAGGGCATAAGGAGAAAATAGCAAAATGACTTCTCCTTGGGTCCAGCCTGGGTCTCAGTTTCCATTCTATTACTTTCCAGCAACATAAAGCTGGCCAAGCTACTCAGCCCCTCTGAGTTTTGCTCTCCTTCTTAGCAAAATGGCACTAAAGAACCTCAAGTCTACCATGCTTCTGAGAGGACAGAAGGAGTTATATCAGTCACAGACTGGTTGCATAGATAAACATTCACTCAACACCCAGTCTCTTCCCCTTTACCTTCTTATTGTTCACTTTGAAATCATTCGTGGAGGTCCAAAATCTACTCTTTTCATTTGTTTGTTCGGTTGTTTGTTTTGCTTTCCAAATCCTGAGTCTCATCTGCAAAATGGAAAAATGAGCTGTGAATTTCCATAATTTAACTTTTGTTTTCTATGACTTGATTATGGCAAGGGATGTATGGGAGCCGAGTGGAATGACAAGGAGGGGAAGAGAGAAGAGGCAAAGAAGGACTTTACACCAGCAAGCCCAATAATCAGCCCCTTTTGAATAATCATTAGCAGCCTGCTGGAAGCTCCGAGTCTCCTAAAGATTTCGGAGATGAGAGAGCAACAACATGAATCTAGCAAATGTGGTGCATTTTATGCATACATTTGAATTAAAGAACTCATGGTCCATTTTGCACACCAAACTGGGGAAGTGGGGGAAAGTGCAGAGATAAACAGAGAAACACCTCCCCCTGCTGCTTTGATAGTGAATAGCAGTAGAGAGACAAAAAAATTCTTTTCTGTGATCCAATAAAACACTAACCACCATCCTCCCCAAAAAATTGTTTGCAAACCATTCCTTATGCACAAGTATTTAAATTTTCCGGAATGCATTTTCTCACCCAAAGCAACTTTTGAAAATTGTAAGAATAACAGTACATTATTACAATGATTATGCCCTTCACTGGGCATTTTATTATTTTTTTGTGAACAGGAAATACATCGATGAAATTTTAAAATCAAAGTGATATAAACATCTGATTGGAAAAGTCTTATTTCTACCCTCCTGGCCCATATACCAATACTTTTATTAGGCTTTCACGTTTATACAAGCAAGTGTTCACTACGTAGTCTTCTTCTCTCCTCCCCCCTTACACAACAGTTAGTTACTAAATGCTGTTCTTGCTGTTGCTGTTGTCAGTTGACAACATATCTCAGAGATCCTTCCACTTTAGGGCAGAGTAAGTGTCTGTTCTTTCTTCACTAAGTACGTCACACGTGGAAAGAAAACATGTCCACTTGGACATGTAAATGTAAATTATTTAAAATATTGCAAAATGTGAATGATTTTAACATCCTAAGGTAGAAGTAACCTCCTCTGTCCACATTACCCCAGATAAGTGCTTCCCCTGTTTATCTTTACCCTTTCTCCTGCCTCCCCAACTTGGTATGCAAAATGGCCCGAGTGGAATGACCTTGTCCTCTGTCTATATTTTCCTCAGGTGTCCCTGCTGATTCAAACCTCCCTCCATGAAAATCTCTGTGTCCCAGAGCAGAACTGAGCTTTGATGTCACTGAACTTTAGAGGCTGCTGCTCAGAATTAAAACGGTTTAATGCCATCAAGATTTCTATTTAAAAGCCCAGGCTGAAAGGAGAAAAAGCCTTCTGCTTCATCTGAAACGTTCTTGTAAAGGGCAAAACAAATACCACTGACTTTGTGCTGATTGGATACCACTGCCACCAGCATCCCCTGAAAACGGCAGGCCTGCCAGCCCTTGATGGAAGCCAGGTCTGGTTTATTGTATTCGAGAGAGTTAGGAAACTGTCTTCCAATGCAGACAGTGAGCCAGCAAGACTGTCAAGGTCAAAGAAAAATCCAATTATCCATAGCAAACACCGACCGCACAATTAAATTACATCAGTCAGGAAAACATTTGATCTTCTGCATCTGATTTTTCTGGAAACTTCACCCTCGAATCAGTCTGAGCCATTCACCAGCATGCTGCTGATCGGTTTTCTTTCTGTCACCAAGCATCTTGCAGCCCTGTGTAGCCAGCTCGTCCTTGCACGCCAGCATCCCTCTGGCTATCCCAGAGGCTGCCTGCAGCTCCAGTGAGGGACTCCCACGCACACAGACACCTTAGAGCCTGTGTCTTTGCCTAGAGGCTCTTTCTTGCCTCAGCAGTATTTTACGCAGGATGATAGAAGTACACCGTTCAGACAGGAAGGGCAGGACAGAAAAACAGGGATTTAACTCCATACCCGAGCCACTCTCAAGCAGGGAGTCGGTGGGTAAATAGGCAGGCACCATGTTTGCCCCTTGATGGGGCAATACCACAGTGTGTAACTCCAAGACACAAAAGGACACCCATGCAGTCAAGCCCGAACTGCACACCACAGGGACGCCACGTTAGCACACTGCTTGTGGGAGTCCTCTCCTCTCTTCTCTCATGGTCTCCCTAGGATGTCTCCTAGGACACAGTAAGTTTAAAAGAAGTTTAGTACAAAGAATCGTTAGCTACGATAAAGAGTAACTAAAACACAAGGAAACTCTAGAAAATGCCCTGAGGCTGAGAAAGGGTACCCAGCAAAAGAAACTGGAGGATTCAGGCCTCTTGGGAAAATGTGGGCGGTTCAGCAGAAAAGCTAGCAAGTCAGCCTCAGCCCTGCAGGAGTAGGCCCGAGAGACCCTAACCGCCCGCTCGGCCTTGGTGAGTGCCGGGTCTGCAGCCGGCTGGAGAGGGTGCCCTTCTCACCGAGAGGGCCGCAGGGTGCTCCAGGGCCGCGACTCAACTTCCAACCTACCAGCCAAGAGCGTGTTACGCGGGAGCGTGCAGAGGGCGGCTGGACGGCAGGTGACCAGCAGCCAGGAGCCAGGGTCCGCAGGCGACCCTGGGGGCGCGCAGGCTGTGCTCAGAGGGGCTACACAGAGGTTACGCGAGGTCAAGGCCGCGCCGTCACAGACGCGCACTTTCCGGTCGGCCTTCGCCCTCTCACACCACTGACCTCACTGCACGTGGAAACCGCCGCGCTTTCCGGCGGCTGCAATGTCCTCCAGCGCCCTCTACTGCCCAAAATCATGCTGGCTTTAAGAGAGAAATACCTACTTCAGTCCTTTCGTCGCAGAGCCTGTACAAGGGTACCTTCGTTAGGAGCTGAGAGGGAAAAATTGATAGCGAATACACCTCCCAAACATAGCGCTTGCATTCAAGTACTTGTCTCAGGTTCGGCCTTTGAAGAACCCAAACCGAGACAATGTGTCAGACCGTATTTCAGTCTGGGCTCTCTGCAACCTGAGGGTAATTATAACAGTTAAACCTGCAAAAGGACTGAAGCCTAATAAAATCAACAAGTGCTTCTCTTGCGAGGGGGAAACTGCAAAGGGGAAAGTTCTCCGGGACTATGATGAGAGACTTTCTGTTGGCATTTAACTAAATGAGCCTTAAAGGGCAATAAGCACTGTGATAATGTCTACCACTTATCACACACAGAGAACTCCCTGTGTGTCTAGATTTCATAGCGATATTCTCTCTTAATCCTCTAAAGTAAGTGTTAGTTCTTATCTCAATTTTTTTGAAAATGATAAATACTCAGAAAGAGGAAGTGATTTGTCCAAGATCAGAGTCAAGGTTCGAACCCACATCTACTTGACTCCAAGCCCCAGGTCCAGTGAGGACAAAACCCTGATTCAGATTAAGGAGTCAGGAGGTCGTGGTTCTTGTCTGTATTTCACCTATAAATTTTGATCTGTTCCAGCAATTAATTTTTCCTTTCCCAAGGCAACGGGTCCCTCTTTTGTAAAATGGGTGCTGAGTTAAATCATGCATCTCCTAAGGGTAGTACTGACCCCAAGGGTATTTGGGAATGTGTGGATGGCTGTCTCTGTGGACAGAGGGTACTCACTGGGGCCAGGCAGAGCAGACGCTCTGTGACAATGATGCCCGGAACAGTCTCACCCGGTAAAGGTGTTTCAGGTCCCATATATCCCAGGGTATTCTTGTAGTTCAAAAAGGTGTCCTGAATCTAGATCTCCGGCTCTGTTTCCCAGTCTAAAAAAGCATCACTATATAAATTTGTTTTTATTTTTTGTTGTCATTGTTTGGGAGGGCATTGGTACAAGGGTTAGAGTGTAGGGCCTTGTGCATGCTGGATTTACACCACTGAGCTACTTCCCCACAGTTGTAATACAATGAGTTTTCCAAGTCAACTGAGGGAAGATGGCACCCTATGAGAAATTGTAGGGAAAGTTGATCGCCATTTGGAAAATCCTATCACTGACAATAATGAAACATGTATTATGAGTTAGCAGAGCATTGGGCCTCTCTCACTCTGCATTTATCATGTCAAATATCTGTAAACTTCATAGGGTCTTTAAGTCTAGCAGTGCCCCAGCATCTGTATCTTGAATTACTCATTATCTTTCTATACATTATTTCCTTTTCTTTTACCCTTATAGAATGGGTACAACATAATATTGACTTTAAAGAAAAACTACATCTGCAGGCAGGTCCTATGATCTGTGAACTTCATACACGATATTTTAGGAGAGATTATAAAATATTTGTTTTAAGAGAAGGAACACTGACCACAGGGAGAGAGGGCCTTACCTCTCTGGTCACTGAAATATGACAATCCCGATGCAAAAGCCAAGAACTGAAACATACATTCTGCAAATATTCAGTTGCCAATGAATGAATTATTAGTACTGAGTCTGAACCCAGCACTTCTGGGGCCTCTGGAGCCAGGCAGGGAATCAGAAGACCTGAGTCATTGACTTTGTGAAGCTTTCCCTAGAAAGGCAAAGGCTTATACTTTATTTCATTCCTGCTGGTATATGTTTAAATAATCCTAGACTGGGTGATTTAAAAACACTAGAAACTAACTGCTCAGTTCTGGAGATTTGTTGTTTGGTGAGAGTTTGTTCCTTGCAGATGGCATCTCTCTGTGTCTTTATAGGCAGAGGAGGCAAAGAGGTCCTTCCAACCTCTTTCCTGTGGGCATTGATTCCACTCACGAGGCCTTGTCTCAGTTACTTGCCTGTTCCTGAGAAACAATACCCAACACCCACAACCTATAGGAGAGTATTATTTTGGCTCATGGTGTTTAGAGGATTCCATCCATTCAGCTGGCTCCAAGACAGGAAGGGCCTGATAGAAGGGTCTGGCACAGGAAAACATGCTGCCTCCCACCTGGAGGCAGCCAGCAAGCAGGAAGGGGAAGGAGGAGCCGGGAGGGGAGGGAGATGTTCTCTTCCAAGTGATGTGCCCATTGACTGCCTCTTCTTGTCACACCCCAACTCCTAATAAGATATTCCACTCCACACTTAGCAGTGGATGAATCCACTGATAAGTACAGCACCTGCATGATCCAATCACCTTGCAAAAGCCCAGCCTCTGAACACATTTGCCTTTGGGGACATTCTAAATCCAAACCAGCCTCATAGCTTAATAAACCTCCTTAAAATCACCTCTTAATTTTTGGAGATTAAGTTCCAACATATGAATTTTAGAGGGACGCCAACATTCAGTCGATTGTAGCTCATATTACTAACTTTAAACATTTACCCTATGTATGGCCCAGAATTTCTTCTATATATAGATCAAGAGAAATAAGGTCATATACCCACCTAAGGACACTGCAAGAATATTGATAGCTTTTTTATAACCATGTAATCCAAGTATCCTTCAAGAGTAGAACAGATAAATAAACTGCCATATATTTATACAATAGAGTACACACAACAATTATAAAACCAAACTACTAATATAACAACATGAATGAATCCCTTTGGCATCTTGAGCAAAGAAAGCAGGCACAAAACTAAAATTACTATGCAATCCCATTTACGTGAAATTGAAAAATAATCTAAATTAATCCAGGTAATAAGCATCAGAATTGTAATTTGCCTCTTGGTGGAATCATTACTGATAGCAAGAAACAGCAGAGAAGCTTCTATAAAGGTGAAAGCATTCTCTCTTGGTCTGAGATGGTTACACAGGTGTATCCTGTGGAAGTTCGCAAGCCAAACTCAAGATTATTGCATGCTGACACACCTCTAGCTGCCTAAATTTTACACACACAGACATACACACACACACACACACACACACACACACACACACACACAAATGCAGCTTCTGGTTTCCAATCTCATTTCAGCCTCTTCTTACTTCGTAAGACATTGAGGTTGACCTAAGAGGATCGGATAGGTCATGAAAGCTCTGCCCTCATGAATGGCCTGATGCAGACATCATGGGAGTAGGGGGATTATCTTGGTTCAGAGCAAGCCCAGGCTCCTCTTTCTTGCTTGCTCACCTTTTCTTGTCCTTCTCTCTTCTGCTAGGGTAAGGGATGATAATATAACAGAAAATGAAATGCCAGCCCACTGACCCTGGACTCCTCAGCCTCTAGAACAGTAAGAAATATTTATTTTCCTCACATACTTACTGCCCAATCTGTAGCATCTGGTTATAGCAACAAAACATGAATTAAGATTTTGTTTCCTCATTTATAAAAAGAGAATAATGTGAAGAGGTTTCACTGTACACTAGCCACCAACTTGTCGGTGTCTGATGAGGCAGAATGCACACACATGCATTACACAAAACAGATTACTTACTGTTAGACAGCAAGGGAAAACTGAACCTAGGATTCCTCCCAGCCCATTACCTAATGCCAAGGAAAACTTCCCAGCATAGACAGAGTTTCAGCTGTGTGAACTCCACTTGCACAATAGTGAAGGAACCCTGGAAAGCAGGATTTATAGCTTGGGGTCACTAGCAGTGCTGGGATAAAACATCAAGGAGTGCTTAATCCATTTTGTATTGCTAGAACAGAATGCCACCGGCTAGGTTATTTATAAAGACAATGAATTTGTTTTGCATGGTGCTGGAGAGTAGGAGTCTAACTAATATCAAGATACTGGCATCTGGTAAGAGACTTCTTGCTGTGTCATCACAGTAGTAGGGTGAGCAGGTAGAGAGAGGAGAGGGAGGAAGGCAGATAAACTCATCCTTTTATTCAGAATCTGCTCTCGAGATAATGAACACATTCTCCTGAAATGAACATTAACCCATTCACGAAAGTAGAGCCCTTATGACCTAACCACTTGTTAGGTCTCATCTTCCAGCTCTTGCATTGAGGGTGAAGCGTCCAGTGTATGAACTTTGGAAGGCACAGTCAAAGCACGGAAAGGACATCCTGTGTTCAGCGCAGTTGGCTGGAGTAGAGCTTGGGTTATTCCAGCCCATCTTTTCATCTCTTATTTCAGGCTGCTGAATTTTCAGTACATTCTATAATTATTCTTGAGATCCCCTAGAGGAAAGGGAATAGGACTCAGTGGGCCCAAGGCGACCATAACAACTGTCCTGCAAATGGTACTTCAGTCCTCCTGTCTTCTAAAGGACTGAAGAGACAGCATGTATAAATATGCTTACCATTCTCTGGATGCTCAGTAGCTATTCATTTCTTCTAGATGAATGTCGCAGTCTATTAAATTTAACTTCCCCAAAGCAGGGATTGTGTCCATGATGGCAAGGATGTGACATATGTGTGTCCAACTGCCCCTCCTGAGCTTTGAAAGACTGCTAAGTGACAACGACACTTCTCTGCTGGCCCTTAAAATCCATCTCAGCACAGCACTCCCTGAAGCTGCACCACTCCATAAGAACGAGCACATGAGAAAAAACTTACTTGCTATCCTGACTTACATTATATTCCTCTTTGCCTTGTCTATAACATCTACTACAAGGACTTGCCAAGCTTATAAAAAATGAAAAAGTAGCCAGGCATAGTAGCAAACACTCGTGATCCCAGATGCTTCGGAGACTGAGGAAAGAGGATCTCAAGTTTGAGGTCAGCCCAGGTAACTTAACCAGACCCTCTCTGAAAATAAAACTAAAAAACACTGGGAGGTGGGAGATATAGCTCAATAGTAGAGTGCTTGCTTAGCATGCATGTGGCTCTGGACTTAGTTCCCAGAACTA